CTCTCTCTCTCTCTCTCTCTCTCTCTCTCTTTCTCCTTGTCGGCCTGGTAGGAACCAGTCGTCCCTCACCCGGGCATTTTGTAATTTTGCCCACCCCTAAGCTCATTCCGACCAGCCAGAACCCACTTCCGGGGGCTGTGTGGGCGCCACGTCCAACCCGATCCGATCTGGGCCGTAGGAGCTTTCCAGAGGCCGGTATCATAGTGAACAATCTGCTGTGCAACAGATCAGACGTTGCTGTCGTGGTGTGCTCCACATCTCATCATCATTACAGATATTATTCGGTATGATCAGACGGTGATCCGCCGGTGCAGAAGAAGCTTTAGCGAAACCATCATCTACGACCGGCATTCTACGACGCTGGAACGGAAAACCAGAGGGCAGTTATCCTCAACTTTAGATACCTTTGGGAAAGCAAATGTGGTACTCTGCGATATCGATGGATCCGAAGGAGTTCCTTTCTCGGCCTTTTTTAGCTCACCCCACCACCGCTAATAACCGAGTCTTCTCGTACCGGCAGGTGTTTATGGTGCTGCCCAACTACGGCCTTGGTATGGCCATGGCCGACATCTATTCCAACTACCAGGGTATCAAGTACTGCGCGGAAAAACCCGAGATCGAGAAAATCTGTCTCGTGCTGAAGAACCTGAGCCTTACCAACCCGTGCTGCAAAAGTAAGCGTAAGCCGTGGCGTTGTGTTTAGGCAGGCGTCTGGATTCCTAAGACGTCAGTGCAGACTTGTGTGTCACCTGTACAGGAAGCCAAGCGTTTGTGGGTGGTGATTACGGCTCTTGCGGGATTACGGGTTTTGAGTGCAGGCTTGCGGGGTCGGCGCTTACCTCATACGGTTGGAAAATTGCTCACTTATATTAATCCACAAAGATGTTCAGGATATGGCGTCTGAGGGGTGGCCCACTTGTGACAAATAGCGATTTTTGTATGGTCAAGCGAGTGGTCCGGGATCCATATGTGCCAACAGGCCGAAATTAAGTGCAAAGTTCCTCGCTGAATCGACATGCCAGGTCAGGATCTAATCTGGTTGGTAGAGCACACTCTGCAGAGAGTGGGGCAGGCGATGAGGGACTGACTTACCATAGGTTTTCCGGGTGTCTGGCTGTATTTGGCGTGAAGAATTGCGATACAGATGTCACGAAAGACATGCGCCCTTACAACAGAAGCCACATTAGCACGGCCGAAGCCTGTATGTTTTTTTTCCTGACAGTGAGGGTCCTGACCCTGACACCTTCCTGGTGCGCCTTTGATCTGAACTGATACCTTCCTGGTGCGCCTTTGATCTGAACTGGCCCCCAGACCGCCCGTGGAGGTGTGCGTTGACTGTTGAAATAAACGAAATTGCTGGCGTCACTGGCACCGCTGGACTTGCATATCTTGCCAGCTGATGGCCATTCTGATGGTACGGACGCTCTGACCGTGCTTATGTGCTAGCCTTGCAAATATTCCTAATCTTTTTTACCTTTCTGGCATTGCTGACCTGAGCTGACTGAAGTTGCCGACCTCTTGATCCTGCCAGCCACGCGAACTTCGCTAACAGTCGTTATCTTAATAATCCTGCTGACATGTCTAACCCGCCCCCCGTCTTGAAACCACTGTCATGATAGTCAGATGGATCTTAAAGTAGAAGGAAGCCCCACAAAGCCGTAAAGTAGACGCAACTTCGTTACACCTCATGGCGGACCTTTCTGGCCTTCCCAACCTCTCTGACCAGCTGACCTTGCTGACCTCAGACTCGGGCAACTGCGGCGACGCCGGCTGCGTGGAGTGGAGCGAAAACTACCTGTCCGTCGAACGGCTCGGCATCGGTCGCACTCTGCTCTTCATGTTTGCCGAAGGTGGGGGCTCGATGCCCGAACAGCGTTATCACCAGCGTGGGATCGTGTTACCGCTGTTGCGGCCGGCGACGCCGTGCGTCTGTCAGAGTCAGTCGCTCCAGCGACATCATCGCCTGTCCCGTAACGGCGTGCTCCGCGCGACGCTCCACGGCGCTTTCTAAACGGCCAGCGGTCGTGGATCCGCCGGGATTCGAACCCGCTCCCCTCCCCCCCCGTCCCCCACCCAGGAGTCAAGCGCTTCGCCAACGGCACTGTCTCGCGGATACGTTGGCTGCTGCGAGTCTGCGCCACGAAGCGCTCGTACCGTCTTTATACGAGACGATAACGGCGCAGACTACGGGTAGGATTGTCTCAAAAGGCAACATTTCAGTAGCATGGTCTATAACAGATATCGGTGGTGTAGGATTTCGACGGGGAGGTGAAACGGGGCACGAGAGTTTGCACAGTCATGGGAGACCACTAAAATTATGAACTTTAACAATGCAAGTTGTTCAGCGCCCAACTATATCTCCATTATCCTGGTTTTTCTCCAAGAAATAAGACTAATACTACTGTGTTATCTGCGTTTAACTTTGCTTTAACCGCATTTCTGTGTCAACCGCCCAGGCCATTTTTGCTTTGTGCTCTCTATGCACTATGGTCTCTCTATCTCTGGATGCGGTCTTGGCACTGGTAGTCGTCTCTGAGAATTTTGGCATTTCAGTCAGTGATGTAAGCTCCCAAAAACTCGTATCATTCCGAGTTATATAATACTTTACGAGCCACCACATCAGATGATAATTAATGGTAGCCTGCCACTTCAGGTACAATCTGTCTCATCATTCTCTGTTTGATCGAGCTGCGCGTAGTGGACAGAATCAAGTACCTGTACAACACCAGAAGAAACACCTACGGAAAGCTGCTACACGACCACAGTAAGATCCACAAGCACGATTCTGTTCCGTTGTCGTCCGTGATATTGATGGTGTGGTAAATGTTTGATGACGTATGATTTCAACCAGTGCGATTTTAATTTGCTCTTTTTTATTTGGTTCGGTGTTTGCTTCGGAAAATGTGAAAAATACCCATATCTGTGGTCTGTTTGCAGTTGCTCTTTCATCTTCGTTGACGTCGGGGCTAGTCATCCAGCTAAGGGTGTCTAAGCACCTCACGTTAGGGTAGGGTGCCGTACGCCCCCCCCCCCCCTCCCCAATCTGGCTTCAGATTGAGCTGAAGCCGTAAAATGGCATAGCTTAATAGCCTCACGCCAAAAATGCAAAAACAGCTCCACTGCTTTGGACCTTTTGACCTCTCAAGGTCAACGGATGGTTTTGGACGTCATGCTGGTCTTCATGCTGAATGCTATCAGCTCCGCCATATTTTGCGGCGTTGCCGCTGGTCGTCTTTCCCGGGTGTCGGATGTATCGCAGGGTGTGGGGTAAACGTCCACCTGCTTGTTCGACGAAAGGTGAATCGCACTGTGTTGTCCTTCCTTTCTTAAACGTTTACCACTTTCTGTAGTGGATGAAGAGGATGCCATCGTTCCCGAGCTAGACTCCGACGTCGCGGCCGAGAAGAAGAGAATTCAGAACGGCGACATCGAAGCACTGAAGCACGAAAATGTCCTCGTCATCAAGTACGTGCTGGATGTCACCCAGCGACCGCTGTTCCATGCCAAAATGCTCCAAAACATAGAACTAGGTGAAGTTTTGTTAGTTCAGTTGAGGTGGCTGCTGTGTAAACCTTTCAAAAGGAATGCTCAGAATTTGGTAAGTGTTAGGTTTCCATTTGATTTGTCCTGCCTCGTAACCAATGTTCAGGATGCGGTTTTTCAGCGCCACAAAAAGCTACATCCCACATTAAAAAGATATCAGTTTTAAACTGTCTCGAATTACGTATCAGCCATCCTTTAATCTCAATTTTGAATGGATGAGAAAACACCTTACTTACCTAATGCACTGTTACACGGCGCCCTGCAGGGACCTGACCAAGTTCTACGCGAAGAACTTCTTGGCCGTGGATCGTCTATGTCTGGCTGTGCCAAAAGGAGAGTGCTTCGGACTGCTTGGGATCAACGGTGCCGGTAGGTACCCATTTCAGCTGGCTTTGCCCAGCCACGTAAAGGGTACTCAACACGCTCCACCGGCCGGGAACACCGATGATGAAACAGGACATTTCAAAAACAGAAAGGCGTAAAACTATTGGTGACTTATCCGGCACATTGACGACAATCTCCGCATGGTTTTTCCCGAGCTGAAGCATGCATAAGAACGCTTTTCGTTTCCTGCAGCTCAAGTACAAGACGCGAATGGAGCAGACCACCGTTCCGTCTAACGGCTGGTTCTCGCTGGTCAATCTGACTCAATTGGCCGAGTCCACGAACTTTGAGCCACTGTCCGTCACTCTGTGTCTTTTCCTTTCATCTTAAACTCGCTGAGGGAGTAACCAAAATAGAATGCACGTGGTCACTTCCATCGCATCCTTCAAGGATAACAGAATATGAAAAGTGCGAAAACCGCATAGATGGAAAACACATATGAAGAAGGGTGGGAATGCGTGTATATCTTATGATATAAGAAAAATTGAAATGAAAAAATAGTCCAAACATTTTGAATGAATGGATTTTAAGGATATGACAGCACTCTAAGGTGTCGTTGTTGGATGAGTCCTGACCCCTGACACTCCGACCTTGAAACTCCAAGTCAACGTCAGAATTTGCTGGTGAATGCTTAACGTGGCGCAATGCTTGGCATGGTCAGTCCTGACCTCGGACGTCGACTGACCTTTAGCGCGGCCGCCGCCACCGGCCGCGGACCATTTCAGTCAGCGGTAAACAGGGAGCGCCTGAGGCGGCTCGACCCATCGCCCACCGCCATGCACATTTTATGCCCGTGAACGGAATACCATGAACCAGTACGGACAGCTTTGTGCCGTTGAAGGGGATGGTCGCCATTTGAAAAAGCAAACATTTTAAGCAAGCATCGGAGGTGGTGAAATGGGCTCACAGCTATTGGCATACTTGTAAGTGCAAAAGGCTGCTCTAGACAACACGGTTTCTTAGTTAAGCAAATATGCTCCTCAATTTGTCATCGCTTGATTATATCATCGCACCATGCACAACATTGGTTGAGAGCCAATGCACGCGCGTCATATCTGGAAAGCGCTCTCATGAACGCAGGATATGAACGACTAGATAATTTATTTTCCTCGGTCCTGATTGCCGCATGGCCAATGGAATGGCAGGATTTGAATGGCGTTTGCTTAGCATCATGGGGGCCTGAGCGACCTTCAGAGGGTCTTCCCGAAATAGTGTGCACATCTTCGCAGGCGTGTGGCTCATAGACTAGAAAGGTTTGGGTCCTAACAAGAGCAGAGCTATGTTCCCCACTTGATCATATTGCAGCAAGCATCAAGTATGATGCAGTAGGCTCACTGATAACTATTAGTGTACTTTTAAGTGAAAAAGGCTGTTGTAGACAACACAATTCCTCTATTAAGTAAATTTATTCCTCAATACGTCATCGTTTAATCAAGTCATCGTACCTTGCACAACATTAATTGACAGCCAGCTGATGGTCATGTCTGAAAGTCGTGTTCTGGAACGCCAGATACGAACGACTCGACAGTTCTATTTTTCGGCCTTGATCGCCGCATGGCCAATGGCATAACTGGATTTAAATCATATTATGGCCAATGTTTTGCCATCGCCGCATGGCCAATGGCATAACTGGATTTGATATCATAACTGGATATCGTCATGGATGGCTTCTTGACCTTCAAACAGTCCACCTGAACTAGTCTGCACATCTCGCAGGCGTATAACTAAAAAACTTGAGTGGTCTAGGTCTACAGAAGAGCACGGCTGTGAACTGCACCGAATGACCTTGAAGATAGCTATTTCAGTTCAAAACCTTGTGCAACACTTCCTTTAAATTATGGGAAGTCGTGCGAAGCGAGCGACGGCCGGCGAGGTGATGATTTGATTCGACGAAGCCATTTGGTTGTGTTAGTGGTGGACGGAGCCATTGTTAGGCCCAGTTCTCAGGCTCAGCTCGCAGGCTCAGTTCTTCTACAGTGCAAATGCACTGAGAAGCTCGCGGCCACGTATTCAGGCTGGCGTAATCTGCTGCCGAGCCCGAGAGCCAAGTATATAAACGCTTGCAGGGGCCTGACGAGGGTCTCCGTGGCACCCTCCTGGAGCCGGCGCCTGTCTGGCTGTGGACTGGTTTTGAGCCCAAAGTCCCGGCGCCACGTATCCAAGCTCCCGCTCCGTCAGCCACGCCCAGGCTCCGCCGCTAGTCCGCCGCACGGGAGCGCGGCAGCCGACCCCCGCTGAAACGAGATGCTATCTTGATAGCGCAGTGCCGCTGTGCTGTCAGGAACTGGAGTCTGATGTTTGCACTCGCCTCGTGTTGACTGACAGCCCAGCACGACGGAAACAGGCTTGTTTGTTTTCACAAACTCATTTGTGAGACATGCGCTGTGCGGTCGTCTGTATACGCCATGTAGGGCGAGCGGCTGGCGCGGTAGAGGTGAACAGACGGCACGGACACCTGAGAGGTCACTTCAGTGTACGTTTATGATTCTTCCAAGGGATCAGACTTCAGGTGAACAGATGTAGGTAGTGATTCGTCGGCGACCATAAAAGTAAATTGGTAAGGTATGATTCAGCCAAGTGAAATCGTCTGTTAGCGTGCAAAGGTGAAAGTGTACTTAGACAACAAGAATGCACCTGCGCGAGCCTTTGGTGGACAGGAGGAAAAGTTTAATTTTTTCGTTTCATGTTATATGCTTATTAGCATACAGCATTTCATCAACTCCGAACTTGACTTCCGAAACGCAGCCATGATGCAAAAGATCATTGCACAATTGAAACATCATGTTGTGCGCGCGTCTGGGTCTGCTCCTGGGCATACAGGCCTTCGCCGCATGGAATACACGAGACGCTGACGGCGAAGCTATCTCAGTCTTTCTTCCGACAATGAGCTGTTGGCACAAAGCACTCCGTCGACGTAAACGTCGCAGTAGGCTCTGGAAGTCGTGCATGGCGGGCATGATCAATGGGACGGGAACAAAAGCGGCCTCTGCAGGGGTGCGAGCAGTCCATTGTGCGCCGTGGAACTCCAGTTGTCGCTGGCGTCACTCCAAACGCTCCAGTGGGAACTGACCACCTGCTCCACGTCGGAGTGGGAGGGGAGGGGAGGCGAGGGGAAGCGAGCCCGCGTCACAGTCGCACAGCACACACGCGACCGCCAACGCATCGGAGGACCGGTCTGGCGGCGCCTGCGGACCTCCGGCGGGAGTCTCAGCATGGTTTGTTCGTCCGACCGGCAGCTGGCGAGCGGCTGTCGCCCGGCCGGCCCGGTGACGCGGGGGACGTGTGGCGCCGTCGTTCCAGCGCAACCAGGCCCAGGTCAGCTCCGCCTGCAGGCCCCGGCCTCCGAGCGGGCGGGAGACGGCGGCAGGCGCCGTGCTCGCGAGTGGCTGTACAGCTCCGGAGAGTCGCGCGCCCCGAGCGGGAGCCGACTCCACGCGCGGCAGTGCGGCTCCCTCACCGCCGCCGGCGCGGAGCCGGCGCCCTCGGCTCCGCGCGTCTCACCGCCTTCCGCCGCTCGCCTCGCGTTCGTGGGCCCCCGCTGGCCCCGCGAGCGCGTGCTCTCTCTGGCGTGGCGTGCGGCGCGCCTGCTCTTCTCGGTTGGCTGCTTCTGTCTGCTCTGCCTGCACATGGTCTGGTGCGCCGGCAAACTGCGCAACAACGTCCTCTCGTCGATGGAGTCGCAGCCGTACCCTGCCGCCGGCTTCCCGCTGCCGGGTGTCACCCTCTGCACGGAGCGGCCGTACGGTCGAAATGTGTCGCTCGCCTCCATCATGCTGGACTGCTGGGTGAGCGGCCGGCACTGCGACGACGGCGCCGTGCGCTGGAAGGAGGTGGCGGAGCTGAAGCGGGTCTGCTTCAGCGCCACGCCGCAGATCCCAGGCGACCCCCGCCAGCTGCACAACGGCTTCTACTTTCGCCTCGGCTTCGACGCGGACGCCGACGAGACCACGATAGTCGACGCCTACTTCCACGACCCGCTGGGCACGCGCACGTCCTTCTTCATCTTCGACGGCGAGCGCAACGTGGAGGTGCCGCTGGGCATGATGATCAAGCAGGATGTGCGGCTAAACGAGCGGCTGTCGCTGAGCACTGCCGCGGCGCCGTGCGAGACGGACCGGCGTTACTCGGAACGTGACTGTCTCAACGCCTGCTTCCAGCGTTGGATTCTGGCGCAGCTGGGCTACTCGTGCGGGCTCGACTGGTTCGTCAGCGGCCACCCGGTCTGCAGCTCGGCCGAGCGCCGCCGCAACGTCACCCTCTTCACCTACTCCGTCGCCTTCCAGCTGCTGAAGCTGACCGACTGCCGGCGCCGCTGCCGGCCTGCTTGCCTCGTGCGCAACTACAGCGTGGTGCCCTTCTCCAAGACGTTCCGCACCTGGTACTGGGACACGCGGGTCGGCGTACTGACCATCAACTTCGGCGACAATCGCTACAAGCGCACCAGCGACACGGTGGTGTACGACCTGTTCAGCCTCGTGGGCGACGTGGGCGGCGCGCTGGGATTCCTGCTCGGCATATCCCTGATGACGGCGCTGGACGGGCTCGGCTGGCTCCTGCTCTGGGCCGCGCCGCGTCTCTGCGCTCGTCGCCGCGCGGCCGGCTCCGCCTGGCGCCTGAGCTCCGGCAGGATCGGCTCCCGCGGCAAGCGCGTGCAGCCGCACGACGCCTGGCTCAAGCCCTGAGACAGAGACGGGCGCGCGTGGGGGATGGTGGCTGCCAGACTCGGGCGCGCTGGAGTTGAGAGGCAGGTGTCTGAAGGCTCGCGTGGACGCTCGCGTGGTCAGCGATGTTGCGCGACCTGAGACCCGCCACGTGCCTAGTGGTGGCGATGACCGCCATCGGCGCGATAAATCCTCACGGCGCTTGACTCATGAAGCAGAGATGAAGGACGCTAACCAGTGTGTGCACGCGTGGACAGACTGTCCTTCTCTCTCTCTCTCTCTCTCTCTCTCTCTCTCTCCTCTCTCTCTCTCTCATCTCTCTCTCTCTACTCTCTCTACTCCTCTCCTCTCGTCTCTCTCTCTCTCTCTCTCTCTCTCTCTCTCTCTCTCTCTCTCTCTCTCTCTCTCTCTCTCTCTCTCTCTCTCTCTCTCTCTCTCTCTCTCTCTCTCTCTCTCTCTCTCTCTCTCTCTCTCTCTCTCTCTCTCTCTCTCTCTCTCTCTCTCTCTCTCTCTCTCTCTCTCTCTCTCTCTCTCTCTCTCTCTCTCTCTCTCTCTCTCTCTCTCTCTCTCTCTCTCTCTCTCTCTCTCTCTCTCTCTCTCTCTCTCTCTCTCTCTCTCTCTCTCTCTCTCTCTCTCTCTCTCTCTCTCTCTCTCTCTCTCTCTCCTCTCTCTCTCTCTCTCTCTCTCTCTCTCTCTCTCTCCTCTCTCTCTCTCTCTCTCTCTCTCTCTCTCTCTCTCTCTCTCTCTCTCTCTCTCTCTCTCTCTCTCTCTCTCTCTCTCTCTCTCTCTCTCTCTCTCTCTCTCTCTCTCTCTCTCTCTCTCCTCTCTCTCTCTCTCTCTCTCTCTCTCTCTCTCCTCTCTCTCTCTCTCTCTCTCTCTCTCTCTCTCTCTCTCTCTCTCTCTCTCTCTCTCTCTCTCTCTCTCTCTCTCTCTCTCTCTCTCTCTCTCTCTCTCTCTCTCTCTCTCTCTCTCTCTCTCTCTCTCTCTCTCTCTCTCTCTCTCTCTCTCTCTCTCTCTCTCTCTCTCTCTCTCTCTCTCTCTCTCTCTCTCTCTCTCTCTCTCTCTCTCTCTCTCTCTCTCTCTCTCTCTCTCTCTCTCTCTCTCTCTCTCTCTCTCTCTCTCTCTCTCTCTCTCTCTCTCTCTCTCTCTCTCTCTCTCTCTCTCTCTCTCTCTCTCTCTCTCTCTCTCTCTCTCTCTCTCTCTCTCTCTCTCTCTCTCTCTCTCTCTCTCTCTCTCTCTCTCTCTCTCTCTCTCTCTCTCTCTCTCTCTCTCTCTCTCTCTCTCTCTCTCTCTCTCTCTCTCTCTCTCTCTCTCTCTCTCTCTCTCTCTCTCTCTCTCTCTCTCTCTCTCTCTCTCTCTCTCTCTCTCTCTCTCTCTCTCTCTCTCTCTCTCTCTCTCTCTCTCTCTCTCTCTCTCTCTCTCTCTCTCTCTCTCTCTCTCTCTCTCTCTCTCTCTCTCTCTCTCTCTCTCTCTCTCTCTCTCTCTCTCTCTCTCTCTCTCTCTCTCTCTCTCTCTCTCTCTCTCTCTCTCTCTCTCTCTCTCTCTCTCTCTCTCTCTCTCTCTCTCTCTCTCTCTCTCTCTCTCTCTCTCTCTCTCTCTCACTGGATTCGGGAACAACACGCTACCTTAGGTCCGTACGCGAGCTGCGCTGGAATTTTATTTTTCAACGCGTCCATTGCGTTGTGTTGAAGTTCTCCTGAGAAGATGCTCATCGTCTGCCTGCCGTGGGAGAAAACCCGAGCAGGCCACTCGCGCCTCGCAGGGATGATGTCCAGCACGTGCCCTGCTGGGCGCTGCCTTCAGGGAAGAGTCGTGGTTGTCGGCCAGAAGGCTGCTCAATGGAAAGCCTACTTTGAACTTGACGATCTGGTGCGATATCGGCGAACATGCATTAACTCTGCCTCTATGGATGATGGTTAGAATGGGCCCAATCCAAAACAGCTGCGTTGACAGGTGCATTGAACCAGCGTGACCCACCGACAGGACATCGGAAGTATCCCAAAAATGGTCAGAGTCCGCTGCTGGTGCGTCTCGTGGCGTCCGTGACGAACTCGCTGCCCCCCCCCCCCCCCTCCCCCCCCCCCCCCGGCAAGCCCGAGCGCCGCTGGCTGGGATCCAGTCGGCCCGTGTTTCAGCAGCATGTCGACTTCATGTCACCGCTGGTCCTGCTTGGTGTGTCGTGCCGGATGAACGCTGCATCACGAATATATTCGTCCCGTGCAACCAGTGTGATAGCGATAAATCTGAGAACACACGTGGTAGGTGATAGTAATGTGCCGATATTTTGTGATATGTGATTCGTTGTGCTGTCCGATTCGTGACCGATTCGTTGTGCTGTCCATTATTGATATCGTATCTGGAGGTAATCTGCTGTAGCAGTTCGTCACGTAACCTGTTCCGACTAATGGTGAACTGAACTAGCAACGCTAGCACGAACGTTTCAGTTTGATCGCGATTTGGCTCAACATTCAATGGCCAATGCGTCTAATTGCCCAAGCTGAAACTTTGTGTATCTGCTGGTAGCACATGGAAGCCAATATAACACCCATGATTTGTCTACAGATAGATGAGGAGCATTGTAGCAAAGGACTAGATTTTCTGTAAGATATCGTGTGGTATGAAACACTATGCATGTACATTATCGGGTGCGCATCCTCAAAGCTACTTGCACCTACGCTGTAAATAACGAAGACGCGGGGTATTCCACATGACTAATTCAGGGAACGTCTACAATACACACATTTTAATGTGCCTCTTTTTAATGCAGAAAAAATGCTGCCAGCAGTGGCGCACACTTTAAGAGTGCCATGCAAAGCGCCGGATATCTGCGGCATAAGGCTGTGAAGCTGCGGTGCGTGGCGTGGTCTCTGTATTAAGCCTCGACGGCTCAACGCCACACGAGAATAATTCTCAGCCTGACGCACCGCCCACCTGACCCCAATCCACCCTTGGCGCACCGCCCAGCTGACCCCAATCCACCTTTGACGCACCGCCCAACTGATCCCAATCCGCCGCTGTCGCCGTCATCGGGGATTCCCTTGAACCGCCCACGCTGTCGGCCTTACGTGGGCCGCTGCCCTGAGATGAATCACGGCGCATGCGCCAAGCGCACGGCTCGGCGGCGCGCAGAATTTGGTGCAGGGTTTCAAGACGGCATGCAGGTCCTGTCATACAAGCTTTGAGTACTAATCTGTTTAATTGGTGATTCTGCATTGCTTGCTTTTCTCTTGTTAGCTGCTTTCACGGTAATCGCTTGGCATTGTGTTTTCCTTTGTCCGTTGTCATTCACGACCTGAATACGCGTGCTCGTTCCATTGTTGCCATTGTTCATGCTCGGGACATATAGTTGGTTGCCAAGGATGCGTATCAACAAACGGAAAAGAGTCACGTGGTTTGTGCATGACCGACGCCCACTTATCAGGTGCGGCGTGTAATGGCGCATGCCTAACTGGAGCGCTCGTCATCAGCCGACGCATAAGCGGCTCATAACGATGTGTATGATTCGTAGTGGAACAGTACACCCACCTTGCCGCATTGGCTTCGTTTCTGCTCGCCTCGACCACAAAGTCTTGACGTTGTGGGCTGGCAAATTTGTGGAACATGTTCTGAGAGAACGGTACCGTGAAAATTACATTTTAAAGGTATTGTACAGTTTCCAGTCTTTTGCAACCCTTTTCCTTTTTCGGTTCTCGGTTGATGCGGTGTTTTCTTACCTGAACCAGATAAGCTCAGTTATAAGGAATTTTTATCCCGCAAACTTGGTGGTACATAAGAGAGCTGCACGAATCATTATTTTGTGTAAGCATCATTAATCATGCCACACATCTTTGGGCAGGACTTCCTATTCCTGCGTTATGTCGTGAGGATACAATCTGGTACGTAAGAAAAATACCTGACGTTTCGTGCTTGACTTCTCTGTCGGACCGCTCCTTTCCCGCCCGTCCTCGTTCAGCTGGTGACCATGTGTTCCTCCTCAGGCAAGACGACCACCTTCAAGATGCTGACGGGAGACGAGCTGATCTCGTGGGGCGACGCCTTCCTCATGGGCAAGAGCGTGCGGTCCGATGTCACCGAGGTGCACAGGCTGCTGGGCTACTGCCCGCAGTTTGACGCCGTCATCGGTGAGCCCGCCGCAGCGTGAGGCCGAGTGTGCTGGTCGACTGGTGGGTGGCTTAGCTGTAGCGGTGACCGGCGGTTCGGTGTCTCCGTTTGAAAGAAAACTGGTCGGGATGGTAGCGGTATCGAAAAGTCTGGAATATTGTGGTGTTAAATATGTTTTAAATTATTACTTCCATGCAACATCAAAGTTTGTCTGAATTCGAAACACAGAACAATTTTTATTTCTACATATCCATAGATTCTTTCCATAGAAGCATAGATTGACCTTCATCTTTCCTCAATTCTTTGCTCTTCAAATTTCCAAATATTTTGCAACCCTGTTTTGTGCCATATGGCTTAACATAAACAAGATACGCTTAGCGCATAGTGAAACTGCCTCACGTTCCGAAGTAAAGCAAGGACGGGGTTGAAACGTATCCCTACGTCATACACTGACTTCTAACAGTATAACTGGAGCCGTGGCAGCCGTGCTCAAATTGTGTCAGTTTAATCTCATAAATTTTCGTCATTGATCATTAGGACACACTATCGGTTTTCGGCTGGAACTTGCTTGAATATCTTGTCTCCCATTTTACCTGTAGATATGGAGGCAGCGTAACATGCATTTTCGCCATGCTCCTAACACTCGCGCTCCTCCCAAACAGCTCTGTTTGCAGCCGTGTCCCGTGACCACGTGCCACGACGGCGTCCCCTGACGGTGCTCTGGGGCTCCAAATCGCGGGGTTCCGTTTCGGTGCTCCGTGACGGTGTCAGGTCGAGTGGCTCCGTGACGGCGGGTGCCGCGCGCTCCACAGATCAGCTGACCGGACGAGAGACGCTGCAGATGTTCGCCCGTCTACGCGGTATCCACGAGGAAGACATCCCGGGCGTGGTGGAGCAGCTCGCCGCCGGGCTCTTCCTCAGCGAGTACATCGACAAGCAGGTGCGCGGTCTCCCTCTCTTCTCTCCTCTCTCCTGCTGGACCCCAGGTCTGAGGTGCTGCTGCCGCGTGAGGTCTGGGTACCGACGGCCGGGCACTGTCGCCGCTTGGGGTGTCTGGGCTGGGGCCGCTTCAAGGATGGAAACGGCTCAACTCAAGTCGAACTGAATACCCAGAGGCACTGAATAAGGTTTGAACACAGACACTGGTTTGTACCGAATAAGAGTGTGCTGGCACCAAACGAGACAGCACGCTGGAGACGACATCAGCTCGAATCGTCTTCGATGGTGATGATCTCTCAGTATCTGGCTTCCGTCTCGTTGTTCTGATACAGAGCTATTCTCAGACCAACGACCAAGAGCGTAAAGCTCTTGCCACTGAATTTTGTGATCTTTGAAGAAGAAAATAATGAGACAATTTTTTGGCAAGATCTTTGCCTGATCTTGCTCTCCTTAGACGTTTTCTAACTCATGCAAGTAAACTTTGGACTCCCGAGATCTAACCTGTGCCATCTCTCCGTTAATCATCACCAGCTGACCTCTGACCCATGACCTCTAATCCCCGACCCCAGCCTCTGACCCTTGACCTGTGACTCAATGTCAGGTGCGCGAGTACAGCGGCGGCAACAAGCGTAAACTGAGCACGGCGGTGGCGCTGGTCGGTGACCCTCCCATCGTATTCCTGGACGAGCCCACCACCGGCATGGACCCGGTGGCTCGCCGCCTGCTCTGGGACGTCATCTGCCGCATCCGCGCCGCCGGCCGCAGCATCATACTGACCTCACACAGGTACGGAAGACGTCCTATCCTCTCTAATGATGATTACTCACTGAGCTTCGTCCTCGGCCCACCCCCGCCCTCTTTCGCACCCACCTCCTGCACGTACGAAAATCCCGGCTGCGGTGCTGTATAGTAAGTGGCCAGTTACCGGCAATATAGCTGAATGACATTATTTTTCTGAAAACACGCACGCCCCTAGCCCCTTCGATGTTACTTATGCTAGTGGCTTGGGTCCATTTCTATGTCCACAACTGTTATCTGCAGAAGTCAAACAAGAAAAAGGCGATAAGATCCAGTATCGGGGATCATTGCGTTCATTATTGCAATATGCGTTATTTGGCCTCGAGCCCTCACAAAATTAAGGCACCTTGCACCACGGGCGATAGGTACATCGGTACATTGCGTAGTAGCTTATATATATATATATATATATATATATATATATATATAGAGAGAGAGAGAGAGAGAGAGAGAGAGAGAGAGAGAGAGAGAGAGAGAGAGAGAGAGAGAGAGATATATATATATATATATATATATATATATATATATATATATATAAGCTACTACGAAATGTACCTTCAAGTACATATATTTCAATATATGAATATATATATATATATATATATATATATATATATATATATATATAAGCTACAAAGAAATGTACCTTCAAGTACATATATTTCAAGATATAAAAATATGTGTATATATATATATATATATATATATATATATATATATATGTATATATATAGAGGGAGCCACCATTGTCAGCGCCGCAGGCCTCAGCGTGATAAGGTCACGATATTTGTTGTCACCGCTCAAAGCAAAGTTGCGTTTCGGTGAGCCGGCATCATCTGTTGACAGCATGGAAGAGTGTGAAGCCCTGTGCACGAGGCTGGCCATAATGGTGAACGGCGAGTTCCGCTGCATGGGGTCGCCACAGCACCTCAAGAGCAAGTTCGGCCAGGGCTACACCCTTCTCATCAAGGTCAAGGTTTCGGACGCGGAGAAACAGGTCAGGCAATGCGCGCTTGTGTTCCCTCTTTAACACATCGTGAGAAACATTTCTACAATACTAGTATTTTCAGTCTCAAAAGATGTTGATGATAAGTGTTAAATGTGTTCATTATTGGTCGACCATTTGGCTGACTGACGCCCGTCTGGAACCATCCCGCACGTTTGTCCTCAAAGCCTGCATATGCATGCCCAGCCCGCTACGCATATGGTCAGAAGTACTCTTTGGCTGTCGCGGGTTTTGAGCCTCATTGACATCTCGTCTCACGACGGATGACTAACGGGACCACCTCCACGTCGACAGGAATTCTCAAAGTCACACCAGCGGGCCACCTCCAGCTCGTCCATCACGCGTCAGCGACCGGCCAGCGTCGGTCCTCTGAAGCGTACGATGAGCGCCAGCTCCTCCGTCCAGCCCGTCAAGGACTTCGTGGAAAAATCCTTCCCCGGTGCGTCTGACCCGTGAGAGGACCTGCTCGATCTGACAGTCGTAGAATGGAAAAGTTAACGGCGTTTTACGGCCCTTGGTTTCGTCTGAGCAAATGATACCGAGCGACAGACTGTGATGCGACGGATATTGTGACACACTGTGCCGTGTTGGCTGCACCCCGCTTTCATGAGCAAGGATAATCGATCTTTGAGTTGCTTTTGATAATGCTGAATAGGACGGTGGCCTTACGTCACAAGTCATATGCTCCAGACATTTTGTCCCTCATGGGACTATCCCTAGATCATCCCATGTCATTGGACCGAGCTCTCCCATGCCGTTGACATGTCCCGCTTCCGTGCGCCCAGGATCCGTCCTCAAGGACGTGCACCAGGGCCTGCTGAACTATCAGATCACGGACGCGTCGCTGTCCTGGGCGCGCATCTTCGGCATGATGGAGCGGGCCAAGGACAGGCTGAACATCGAGGACTACTCCGTGGGCCAGACCACGCTGGAACAGGTGACAGCAGAAGCTTGTGGATATTAAAGGGACATCGGTCTGCATCGGCAAAACAGCGACGCTATTATTACATTTGCCTGTTTTTTCTGTGGTCTGTGTGCTTCTAAGTTTGGAGTATACCTCGACATCGCGGTCGTGAGTGTAAGATAGAACGAAGAAGGTGCAATACAGGCGCCCTGCATCCGGCGATAACCGAGCCCTCAGTCCTCGAATCCTTGAGATGTCCTCATAACGCGCCATTATTTCAAGATCCCCTGTCAACGCTGTTCTCTATCCACTGCAGGTGTTCCTGAACTTCGCCAAGGGCCAGCGTCCCGAAGACGGCGAGTGAGCACCGTGTCTGGGGCCATGGAGCTAACGGCGCGTCCTCAGTGCCCACCGTATCACTGTGTCCACTCAGTCAGCACTGTCCAAGCTCTCATCAGTTGGAGGCTGCCCAGCCGTCGTGCCGTCGTGTCGGTGTAGTTGTGTCATTGTGCGATGCGGTCGCGACATTCCCCCCACCGCCCGGTTGGCTGTCGTGCCTGTTGTGTTCTGCTGTTCAGCTGTACTTGGTCGTAAAAGGAGCGCTGACACTGGCAGATATCCCCTCCGAATGGAAAAAAGTGAATCACGACGAGTTGGGGCGCGTCACCTTGCGGGTCTGCAGTTGTCCCGCGCGACTGGCGACTGGGCGTACACTTCAGTTCAGCCTCGCGCCAAAGCCTCGAAGGCGGTCCTGGGGAGACCCAGCGGCAATGTTGTGGCATACAAGCCTCGCAACGGCGAGCCATTAATAATCTATTTTCCGATGTTGCTGTTATGCACTGGTGTCCGTGTGGTGTAGATGTTAGGCACTGAATGTCTGGGAGGTGGACAGAGTACTGTGTCACTGTTTGGGTTGCAGCGAAGCGTACAATGGCAGTGTTTGCTAGGGCCGCTGTCGTACAGTCGCTTCTTATCGGTCTCACATTTCTAATGACATCTCTGCGTTCCCGATTTCGGCGTGTTTAAGGCGACGTAACATCAAGGTTCTGCTGTTCACTCTCGAGCGGAGCCAGCCGTCGTAGTAAAATGTGACCCAAAAAGTACACCAGTCTTGGTAATTTTTCAGTTTCGTGGAGCGCTTGTCTTGCGGAGCAGGTCGTGCGACAAGACTGTGGGGGAGAGCGATGCTCCCTGCTGCAAGCATACTGCATCCTTCATTCCCAAACACCCTGATTAGTTATACATCCCGCTGGCGACAGCGCTGTGATCCACAAGACGGATACAAGTTCACAATCAATCAGGAATGCGCATAACGGTGCAGCCTTGATGTCGATATTGTATGCGTGCTCTCAAGCTGTAACTGTAACTTGAAAATCGCGTGTATTGTGTTGGATATGTTGCATGGTCAGTACAATGTCGATGTTTCAGGGGGCGAATGCCACGGATCGAGGCTGGTCGCGCAGACCCAGGTATTTTGGAGTCTTTATGACCATATACTTCGCCTGACTATGTGCTCTTTGAAGACAAAGGAAGCAGCTATTTTCTAACACAACACGCTGGATGTAGCTAGCTAGATGTGAGATAAAATATTTTGAATCCCAGTTGCATTCTAATACATTATAAAATGCATGTGATGTGCCGGCGTCGAGTTTTTTGTGAACCGTGATGATGCAGGCAATTCGTGATGCATTACGGTGGGTAACGATCACACAAAAACGACACCATAATCACTGTGACCCAGCCACTAACTTGGTTCTCAACTGACCCCTGTTGTTTCGCATAAACCTCGCTGTAACTTCAAATATGCGTCGTTTAATTGTGATATGTTTACCTTATACGTTACCCAGCCATGGATAACCTCCAACACGTTTGTTGGATGGGGAGGAAAACTATCTGGTCAGGAGGCCGTTGGGGCCCATTGGTCACAACTCCCATTGTTTTCCACTCAGGTGCGTTAGGTGCAACACCAAACTTGCCTGGACGTGCCACTCTCTCCATGATTACGCCAGATACATTTAGCTGTGTTGATTGCTAAGTCAGGTATCGAAATACAAGGACACGGTTCACAAGATTCGGCTTTTAATCTAAGCAAGAGGTAACTAAATGTATCACAACAGGACCTAGAGCCACTTAGTAACGCCAATGCACCAGGCAATGTGCAGCTAGTGACAGCAGGTTTATTTCACTCGACTTGAAACTAGCGACAGCGGCATGAATTGGCAGGTGCTGACCGCAACAGTGGCACGCGCCGCCATGGCGCGTAACACCAGCGGCTGAAACTGCAGGCAACCGTCACCGAGGCAATACTGACCTGGCTAGGCTGCCGTGAAGTGTCATCTGGCAGTCTCTGGAGACGTGTCGTACCACTGCGCCATCTATCGAGTGCCTGAAACCTGTATGCAACCATCACTGAGTCTATACTGTCCTGGCTACTGTGAAGTGTCATCTGGCAGTCTCTAGGGAGGTCTTGTGCCACTGCGTCATCTACCGAAAATGATCGCTTCGCAGCCGTGTAGGAACCGCAGCTGAGGCGCTCACCCAGCGCCATCTGTCGAGCGCGGGCACGCACGACACCGCCACCTGACAGACAGATTACAGGCATACAGCAGCGAAGACCAAGCCATGTCAAACGATCTAGACAAAATGGAAAATGAAAGGCGTGAAATGCGACTGAAACATGTCCGATATCGCTCATCTTCATTTCGCTTTTTTGGACACCCGCTTTGAGTTTACGCTGTCGATTGCACTGAAGCCTCAAACCACTCTAATGCCTCAGACACAATGTGTTTTTCAGCACAAAGTCCATTAAAACATCCCTCATCGCGTAATTTTCCGAAGAAACGATGTCCGTCCGCAAGTTTCAACCATGCCTTATTTACTCAGTATTTCTGTCCTTTGGATGCCTTGACATTGACATTACCATGGGTGGATTATCTGTTTTGTGGTGTCTTGTGACGGATGACGTTTATCGCAGGTCGTTGCTGCGGTATTCAGTGTAATTGCCGACATTATTATTGCGAACCTTGGCGAAATCCAGTGAGTGGTTATTCTATCGCCGCGTCAGTACATATCACATAGATAAACACATAGCACGCAACACATGCAAATGGGACGCAACTCCGGCGAAAGACATACGATGTTATAAAACATGAGCGACTGATGATGCAATCAGCAACTGTGCGTCATGGCTAGTTTGTCAGTTTAGGTTAGTTCTCTGATGAAAGGCATTGCTTTGCCCTTGAACTCAATTAAGTTTTTGCACTGGCGCCTAGCAGCAGGGAGGCGATTCCACGCCGCCACAGCCCGATAGGGAAATGCCCTTTTTACGCACTCTAAGCGGGGGTGTTTTACAACGCTCGTCTGCAGAACAGTGTCGTCATCGGTGGCTCCGGTGTGCCGCTGAGATACTTCAAATCGGCGCCTGATCAGGTTAATGATAGCCCGTGGCCCGTGATGCACGTAAATAGCGCGATGCAAACATGTGCAGTCGCGGTGGGTGACAGTCTCGTCGACATTGGGCCAGTTTAGCTGTTTTCCGGATTCTCCTCTGCGTTTGCCGGCAACAATTCTGACCGCGAAGTTAATAGCCTTATCCAGGTGCTGGCGCTGAACGGCTGTTATCGGGTCCCATGCAGGTAAATAGTATATGATGTGAGGGAAAACCAGTGACTTAACTAGGGGCTTTATTGTGGATCTGGGAAACACATGTCTAAGCTTGTTAATAGCTATGAGGGAGCCAAAACAGCGCTGAGTAGTTTTAGCCGTTTGCTGTAGCCAGTTGAAGATTTTTATCGATGAGCATGCCTAGTATTTTTACTTACTCTGAAGGAGACAGCTGGGAGTTATCAAAACTCACGCTCAGCCCGGCGGCTTTGCGGGTATTGGTGGGTGTGCCAGCAACATTGAATTTAGTTTTTGATGGGCTGATCTTCATGCTATTGTGACGAAACCATACATGAGACATATTACTTCACGGCTTAGGGTGCTCTTTGACCTGCGCGGGTATCTTACGGCGTCCCAGTGTGGGTGTCTCGTCAAAGGGTGGGGGAGCTGACTGATCAGAGCTGAGCAGCCCAACTTTCTAAAACCATGGCTATAGTCTTATGGACGTAGACTGCAATTAAAAATCCGGAGACAGCTACGTCCACTCCTCCTCCGCCCCAGCTCGGGTAAACTTTCGCAAACGTATTGAAAGTCGCGTGACTCAGTTTAGTTGTCAAGACACCATTTATCATAAAAAAAATTGCTCGCTACCCTACGCAGGGGCTGCCGCCAGCTGTATTGCGTCTTGATTCTTGCCACACGCTACTGGTGATGGAACGGAAATTACAGTGACGATGAGCGTGTTTTGTGCTTTCCGTAGGCCAGCGTGAAAAAAGTGAGAAAAAACGGTGTGGCGAAGGCCACCGTCTCTACGCGCATTTCAAGTTACGCGATATGCTGCCTCTGCTTGCACTTCTACGCAATGCGTAGACAGAACTTGAGTGTACAGCATAGCAATGCACATTATTACCGGGTCTTCACTGCGATTGGGTCCCAGACATGGAGCCCCGAGCGGCAGGAGCGTGTCACGCCCCTTGCTTTACATGTTAGGTGAAGCCAGAATCAGGGAAGCGTGTAGAAGGCGAACCTGACGTGGTCAAAATTAAAATGCTCACTGGTGCTCAAAACTGCGTATCCGCTTTCCGTACCGGGCCGAACAGTCACCCGACCGTCATAACCGACGGTCGTAGCGCAACGTCGCCCCCGCCCACCTCCCCTACCCCGCAATCAACGGTCAATTTCGTCCCCCAGACATACATATACTGCGTAGCCACCAGTCTCCATCCCCCTGGCCTCAACCTCAGCTGGTCGCCGATCGAAATACGTCAGTCGCTCCCACCCCTCCCCTCGCAATGAGTGAGGGTTTTTCCGCCGGGCAGCTGCAGCACTATTTAATCTAAAAAAATTATCGATTATGTCGCCGTGGAACCCCACAAAAACAAGTGGCCGCGTGTGCCCAGCTGCTCACTATGATAAATATCTCGCTAGATGGCAGGAGGTTCGCGCGCGGTCGCTGAGAACAGGTGCGCCACGGAAGTAGTCAGTCCCGGAGTAACTGATCCCTAGCCATGGAGCACTGTCTTTCGTGTCTGCACATTGGTGTATTCGACCGTTTTCATGCCGAGTTGCATGCAAGAAGCTGGGTCGATGGCGTTCATTCCCCGCACAGAACAACAAGCGACACTTACCGGAGCAATAGGATGCACGAAACCTTCATGTTCAGAATGACCTTACGAGGCCTTGGAAAGAGATAATAAGTTCCAGTCGATGCCAACAGTATCTCAACAAATCAGTGCTTTCAAAAATTGTTTACTTATTACGCTAGCATGAGTTATTTAGGCTTTAGTCGCCATTGCATGAATTGG